CTCGGAATCAAATGGGAGATGGTTGGTGATGATGGTGATTGAGATGACGATGATGACTTTGATAATGATGATGGTTATGATTATGATGACGATGATGGTTATTGTGATGATGATGATGATGGTATGGGTTAAACGTCACAAATATAAACATTTTTTGATAAAAAAAAGCAATCAGTAAACACGAACAAACTCACAATACGGTATTCACCATTTTCATCATTATTGTTGTTGACATTTAGTTGATGACCTTCTTTTTACTTGAACGTGATTGGTTGCCCTAATTTAACCAGCTGAGGTGATGGACCAATTGGATTGGGAGTTACGCAACATTTTGCTGGATCTCTTTGATCTCAAACCTGCCGACCTTGACATACTTCTGCCTCCTATTGAAGGTCAATTATTAACAAAATTAAATTCGATGTATCAGCGATAATAATGATGACAACTAAGCTTATCTGGGTGATAATTTCATCACCATCATCCTTCCAAACCACTCATCACTGGCGTCATCACCATCTGACGTCATAATAATCTATATAATCTTCATCCACATATTATCACCATCGCAATTACCATCATCATCCACATCATCGTTAAAAGTAATTTCCATAGAATAGGGTGGCTTGGTGGCCAAGTGGTTAAGGTCGCCGGCTGCTGTTTTGCAGTGACCGGATTCAAATACGACAAAATATTCCCGCTTCGTTCGTGTGTATGATGCATCGTTTAACATGTATTCATATTGGTTGTTTGTGGATCGTTTTTTTACACTACTGCCATTCCTACTATTACTTTCATTTATATAGATTTTTTAAATATTATAAAGTGGTTGAAAAAACGTTATTGTGGTTGTCATCAAATTTCTTACTAACGCCAAAAAACAGAGAGTTGTCTTTGAGGAAAGGTGACACGGTGTATCTCTTAAGAAGAGTTGATAAGAACTGGTATGAAGGTGAACATCACAGCACGATTGGAATCTTTCCTGTTTCTTACGTTGAAGTTTGTCATGTTGTTATGTACGCATTCAAATGTATCTCAATAAATCTTTTCTGTTGGAATATGTGAAATGCTGATGCAGTTTATTTGGAGA